CGAGAAAGAAGGACTCTTCTGGCGGCGGAGGTGGAGAAAAGGGCGACGAGAAATCCCCTGGTGAAGGCGACCGGATTCAACCCGTGCCTCAGCCTCGACGTTGGATTTCCGGTGAGAGAAACAAAAACTATTTCCGTTACCTAAGTTGCGCATTTATTTATTTTTTTGCTTTAATTTTCAGAAAAAAAAACTTTTGATATTCTGAGAAATAGCCAAATAATTCCTCTACATCGCGCAGAAAAATTTACCCCACAGACCCACCCTCTGACAAATATAAAGGATAAACCAGAAAAGAGTTGAAAATCTTTGAACTCTATACGTGTTCTGAACGGGTTAAATTATATTTTTATATAAGTCTTATCAAAGTTTATCCAGTTCACCGTGGAATCCTAATTTAACCAGTGTTAGATTTCCGATAAGAAAAAAAAAACTACGATTTCCGTGACCTGACTTTCACGTGCTCGGAATTTCTGTTTCACATAATAATTCTTGCAAAAACATAAAAAGTGAAAGGATTTGCTCCTTTTAAACCATTACATTTTGAAGGAATGCTATATTCTTGTGTTTCGGGGTGGAACATTTTGATCACAAATGTAGGAAAAAATTATATTGTACAAGGAAAATTCACGATAAAATTATGTTGTCTATGAGCAGTTAAACAAAATTATATTGTGAAGATCGTCAAATTAAACTTTAAGTCATTATCTTCGAACGATGTGTGATCATAGATACCTTATACATGAATAGATAAATGCTCAATATCAATTTGAAATTTTAATACTGTCCTGTTGGAGGGATAAGTTTTAAAAAACGTTACTTTTTCGGGTTTTCGTTCATAACTGATGATTCAGCGAAGTGGAAAAAAATTCGCGGATATACTTGCAGAGTCTACAAATATATCCGTGAATCAGAGTCTAATTCAGAGTCTAAATTATGATCATTTATTACATGTAAGCACCCAATCCGCAGAAACTTGACACAACTTTTTTTAAAAATTATCCGAGTTTTTGGCATAAAAAAACATATGCACGAACGAAAAAACATGAACCAAGGAAAATTATTTTCAAAAAGTTTCAGATTTTTTTTATTTCAAAAATGAATATTTCAGATATACAGTAGTCTGTTTATATTGCCAGGCCAAGCCAGTGAACCGCCAAATTCTTTGGCTGCATGTAGTTGGCATATGCAAACCGAAAAATTCGACGGTTGAAGCAATCCTAAACCGAGGTTCCAAAAATAATCCGTGTCCCGATGCCAAATACAATAAATGATGTACAGTATTTTTTCCTCTCTTTAAAAAGGGCTGTTGATGAAAGAAACCCGTTTTCAGGCGAGAAGTACTGGTTCTCCACAAGACGCATACGTTATTAACGAATCCTTCAACTCATTTACCCCGTTTCGAAATTATTCTTTTCCCGAAAGCCTCTTTAATAGTCGGAAACTTGGAGCAGTTTTTGAGCAGTTTTTTTTTTAAATATTTTCCCCGAGCTCTATAGGCCCCCAGGAAAAGGCAAATGTCGACATGATGACTGGTTTCGGGAAGAAATCTTTGTGTTTGCGTGACGGCGAGCGTGAAATTAGACGCTGTCCACACGAGCCAGGAGCGCTCTTTGTCGTGCCCTGGTTGTGTATAATCAAAAGCGGGGAAGTTTTACGAAATGACCCGCGCCGGTTGGGTCTTGTGACCCGGGCAGCACGGGCGAGGTTGACGGGGCTTTTTTCTTTCCTGAACATGCGTCGTACGCCCGGGTTTCGGGGCGTGATGATGATCAAACAAAAAGTTATTTCTCCGAACCTCAGCTGGGGTTTCGCTCCTCGCGCGACGTCTCCCAAGTTTTGGCCGAGAGTTTTTAGATACTGTAATTTTATAAAGAAAAACAAAATAATAATTGGCGTTCCTTGTACTGTACTTTGTTTCATTTCTTTGTGAATGCGGGAAACTTGGCTCCACACCTGTTATTTTGGCTACGTAAATTCAAGAACTGTGGGAGACCACTGCATGACATTCAATGCTGCGGAGCAAGTTTCTGACGAAGGACAGGACAATGTTTTTTTTCTAATTTCTTTTTAGAAACTTCGATTCAATTTCCATTCCTGTTCCGCAGTAATTTATTTCATGAAACTCCTCCTATGTGACTTTATTTTTTTTAACGACTTTGAAGTTGTATCTTTCCCCGAGACTCCAAACGCAAATTTCCAAAAATGTTGACAGCAAAAACTGAAGGTTAGCGCCGGAATAATTTCAAATCATTAGATATTTGGGAGTTTTTCCACTCTGTCCATTGAAAGGAGACAAAATGATTTCTCTCAAAACCAGGTACTTAAAAGCAAGGTTCAAGAAGTGTTGCAAGAAAACCGAGCAAAAAGCAGGGATTTTAGAACACGTGTGAAACGCGGAAGTGGTGATTCCCGTGCAAAAAACAAAAAACAAAAAAAACAGTAACCTACGATTTCCAGGTGCATGGAAATTTGCATTTTCATTTTTCTTTGCACCGTGTACCAGAAATAGCTGAATTATGTAAACGATTGTTTTGGAAGCATACATTCTCAAAATTGCCATGAGAATGGTCTGATTCATCATCATGCAGATTCTTTAGTTATGCTTTGAACTTCGCGAGGAAGTTACATCGATGAATGATGTTGGCCGATTTGTCAGGGATAACTGAATTACTGTACTACAGTCACTCAGTATGCAAGAAGAAGATGAACAAAATGAAAATTAAGATTAGTGAACGAAAGCCTGCTTTTGAGATAATCTTTAGTTTTCTATTGCAATTTTTCATGGTGAGGATTTTACCTTAGTTATAACTTGAAATGTTTGTTGCCGCCACCCCTTCGTACGTTTCTTGTAATTTTGTTGAAGTCAAATGTAAATTAAGGAAGAATCCGAACACCTTGATCCAGATGAGCGATATAATGCTCGTTCAGTTCAAATGGTGGATAAGGAATCCGATTCTGTCTTGAACTTTTCGGTATGCAAATACAAAACATGTTCCCTGTATCGCAAAGACGTACTTTTACAATTTCCATTTCGCTGATTGAATGAAAACTATCAATTTGAGACGAGCCTTTCAAGTTTCAACGAAAAGCTTTTTCTCACACTGTTGTCTACGTCAAGCTGAACCATGTCATACCCGAGAAATTACTGACGTTCCATCGCAGGCGAACGGAATGTCGCCACGAATCGAAGGGTCATGATCACCGGGTTATCGGCATTTCTGCAACGAAGGAAAAAATCAAATAAAACAGTTCCGCGAGGTTTTCCTTATGTGTGTTTCTTCTGACGACCCACTAACACGATTTCTCGCTATTGAATTCAAATCATTCTGCGACGGGTTCGGGAACATGCGAAAGCGAACTAACTTGGTTGGTTGCTTTGAATTAGATTTTCAGATGACCGCTTTCCGCGTGCAAGGCTGTTCTAGAAACAAAAGAGTTCTTCAGGAAAAATCAGGTACTTTACGATATTTTACCTTGAGTCTCACAAACATTACCATTTTCAGTCTTTAAAATTTCTGTCGTGGGAACGATACATTTGGGGAGATTTTCAAGCAGAAATATTTCAAAAACTGTGAATGCTTTAAAGTTATATTTTCAGTGACACGAAGCCATGTTATGTTGGTCACAGTGAAGAAAACCCTATCCTTGAAAGCGCTTCCGAAAGTGCTGGGCATTTTCCAAAATTAAAATTGTTTAAAAAATGGTAATGCTGAATTTTCAAAAATGGAACGTTGAATTTTGATCTTAAAATTGGCAACTTCAAACTTGAAATGATATGAACTCAGAGTTCTGTATTGAATTTTTGGGCGTGAGGGTCTTTTGAAATAAATATGGGCATCATTAAAATTGAAAAGCAAAGGAGATTTTCGTTTCTCTTCTAATACTTTCCAAACAATAGGTCACAGAAAAAATTAATCTCTCTGTTAGAAAGTTGGAGGTTATCGATATGCACATATTTTTTCATCGTGGGCAATTAGTACTGTACTGTAAATAAAGATGCTGGGGACATTGAGAAATTCGCACAAAATTACCTGATTAACCATCATCAGATCAAAAATTATCAGATACAGTACTGTACAGTGTACAGAATGGTTTGTTCCTTCGCTCTTTTCTTATAATTTACCGAATTGTGCAGATACTGTAAAACGAATAACTTCAACTTCAGGGGTCATTGAAATGACGAATATGACTCTGTTAGTTTAACCTCTTTTTCACTAAAACCAAAGCAAATACTGTATTTTCCACGTTGAATACATTTCGATGATTCTAGTTGAGCCTTAAGAGCAGGACAATGTTCTGTGAAATCTCTCCACGCTTCCAGATTCCACGCGCGATTACGAAATCGCCCAATCAGGACGACAAGGCAGCATTTTTTGTGTGTCCCCACTTAAAAGCTTGAAAATATTCCATTTCATTTTTTATAATGCAGACGAGTCAATGATGAGTGAGAGCGGATCACAGGAGACGTTCCAGTCGCACACCAGCAGAAAAAACTTTCCCTCCCTAAGCATTCAACCTCCCCATGCCTCGTGACACATTAATGATCCGAAAATGAGCCCGTGTCCCGCTTAAGATTTTCTCCCCAAGCCTGGGTCTATTTTAATGCGAATTCCTTCAACGTATGGCTCGTCAGTTGACGGCTTTCCTGGACACGGACATACGCAAGAATCCTCCTTTTTTTCTTTTGTCCTGAATGTACATTTGAACCTCGTTGAGTCGATTTTTTGTTCATGTTCTTGTCTGAATTCCCTTTGGAAACAATGTATTAAAATCTCTTTAATTCGAAGGCTTTTGGTCTCAAACCTCCGTATTACTAGAGTTTTTTCTGAGGCCTTCTGGCTAATAGTTCCTTGACACAGAAAAAAAAGAAAAGCGATAAGGAAATTAACTTGATATGTTTTGAAAGGAAGTGAAAGACTAATTGGGCAAATGAACCCGTGCATCCAAGTTCAGCATCCTTTCAACTCATTTATGAAGTCCCAGAATATCACAATTTAAGGCCCAGAATATCACCATTTACAATTTCCTGCAATTCTATCTTTCCCACTACAAAAATGCATCTTTTCTGAACTCGAAACCTCCCTAATTCGAATTTTGTTGCTGATCCCTTGGAATTCAAATTAAACAGTGGAACTGTACTTGAATGTACCTTCACCATGGACATTTATGTCAGTAATGTAGCAAATCTTCGGAGTCAACTTTTCGCATACTGTACGTCTAAATGTCTGCACTTTTCTGCATGAAAAAAAAAAAAATCACATCACGACAGATTGAATACAGTCGTCGGAAGAGGTTGATGCAATCCACATTGTCGTCCGATGCCCGAAGTTCCCTTCACAAATTAAATGCATGTGTTGAACTGTTCAGAGGACCCTGATTTAAACATGAAAAAAAAAAATTTACCAACAAAACATTAAGCGTGAACAATATTTTGCACGAAGGTGCTTGGGTTTGACTGATTTTTCAGAAATGCCCTAGATAATTCATGACATGCGTCTGTGCTGAGGTTGGGTCACCAATCTTACGAAGTATTCTATACCTGATCGCTGAGAACTGCAAGATTTCTGTATTTTGAGAAAGGTCTCCTCGGAAAACTATCCGATTTATGTGTCTATCCCAACGTTAAACTAAAAGGAAATCTGGTGTAACTAAAATTCATTTTTCAGTTCAAGCTTTGTATGCCTCTGAACAAAAAGATATCTAAGAAAAAAAAGAAAGAATGGATTTAAGTGATCCTTGAAGATCGATTCGTATTGGAGTGTTCTCATAAGCCATGAAACCCTGTTTAAGACTCTTTATCTTTCACCGGACGTGGATGCAAATTTTACTCCGGTGCTTGATATATTTTTGTCAAAATCAAGATTTTTAGAAAGAAAATAATTGAAAAATAAAATCATCACCGTCAGAATTCCCGCGATAGTGAAAAGGATCAACTCTTTCCCGTCTCCTCAACCAGATTGACTGGTTTAAAAAAGAAAAATAAAATTTGAAAATACCAAGACGAAATTCTTGCGAAGTGACTTATTGTCACGGTGTTTGACATTAAAAATTCTCCCTGTGAATCTGCGGCTGTGAAACATTTTTTTTTAAAGGAAGCATTCAATCAACTCAAGATTCTTAAAGTTGAAGTCTGCATTGAAATACCTGTACTGTACAGTACTCTATATTGCAATGACAGCTAAAAATATTGGAATGTCCGTGCGTTTGTTGAAATTTGATTTACTCATCGAAGAAATACAGTCCACTCCAGAGTCGATCCCAGGACTGTATTTTCAATCAGTGGAAGAACTTTCGATGTTACCCTCGTAGCCCTTATCGAGAGATCTCACTATATAGTTTGGCTTTTGCGTGCGAAAATGAACTGGGTTCATGGTTTCGCTCTGCTTGTTTCCCTTTTGGGTATACAGTATAGCAGTGACGTTTCCTTGTTATTTCTTACCTATGGTATTCTTTTTTTTAAGCTTCCTTGAAGGGCTTCTGATGTCCCACACGCGATCATCTCGTGTTATTCACGGACTGCGAAGCCGTTTCATAGCTCTGTTTGCTTCGTTGTCTCTCCTCACCTGAACAATGTCATAATTTTGTAGCACGCAACTCATCTCTCGCATGTCCTCCATCTCTAGGTGTTCGATCTGCTCCGCCGACAAGCAAACAAGAAGCCCTTAACGAAGACTCAGATATCTTTCCCACACCATGCGGCAAAAATCAGCGAAGCATTCGGAATAATTATGCATAAACAAACTTAAACCTCAGATTCAAGAAAAAAGTAATGAACAAGTAATTCAAGGACATTTTCAACTTTTAGCTTTATGCCCCGCACCTTCCTTATGACTCAGACCGTCCCGACTTTGTGCGAGCAAAAGAATTACCGTTGAAGCGAATATTGAGCTTATTTCCTCACATGGATCATTATCAAAGATCAAGGTACTGTACTGCACTTATTGACGTAAAAATTGTTGCCGTAATTATTGTTCTTAGCTTGAAGGAAATGGCCGGAACCAGCATCTTGTCTGATTATTATCTGAAATTATTACGCTAGCAAATCTCTGTGCATCTAAATTTGACTTCCATGTGATTTGAACTATAATTTGCCGAGTGACCGAATCAAAGTCTAAAGATATTTTAAAAAATTTCATTAGGGGAAGCTCTTATCCAAATCGCATAGCCGAGATGCATTTTTTCAATAAGCTGTACATTTTGGCATACTGTATTTTGTTAGCTAAACTGCAAAAATAAATGATACACGTCTCTACCTGGTCAGTTTTACTGCAGCACATGCATCGTATAAATTCACGTGTCGTCGATGTTGGACCCAGCGCTGCAGCGTTTGCAGGCAAATTTTGGGCATTTTTTCATTCGTGAATTGATAATTATTTAAATATTTGTCAAGCAGGGATGGCAGCAGCAATATTTTTCTTTGCGTGTCAGTTTTTAATTTGCCAGAGGCTTTGGGATGCGGACTTCGCTGTACCCTGATTTCTCCTTAAACATGTCTTTCCAGTAGCGTCTGTATTTGCCAATTTTTGCAACGTGTGCAATCCTGGGCAGAAAAAAATATACGGTTATTTTACATTAAATTTAAATGCGGTGCACTAGGCTGAAGAGAACATGCTTGTCTCGAGGGATTAACAGGGTGACCCTGGAAACCGTGTCATTTTTTAGCGTACAGTACTGTACCGTACTTTGATGGATGATGTCGTATGAGACACTTCCTTGAGCTCTGATTTTGAAAAAGGTAACATCAAATTCTTTTTTATTTAGTAAGGGATCAACGAGTCAAAAAGGTTGAGCAACCCTGCTTGAGAGGATAATGAGGGTGTCCACATCAAAAATTCCTGACCAGCTTCAGTCTACTTTGGGAAGGTTTTTCTTGTTGCTCGGCATTATTATATGGAAAATTTGAATATTGACGTAGAAGCGAATTCCCTAGAAATTTTAAATTTTTTGTGTTGATTTTACAAATGAAAAAGTAAAATGTAAAGCAGATGACACGTTTTATGAGTATTCAAATTACGGAGTTGCTACCCTACGTATCTGAGTTCAAATTCAGCTCTTCAACATTCATCTTTCCTGTTTGATGATATTGACAATGGGGAAAATTTTCGCTATTAGAGAAAGATCATTTTTTATGCGTTAGTTTTGTTATCAAATTTTTAAACGGCTGATCTACAGACAGGTACTTGAAAACATCTCGAAACACATTTATTCGCTCGTGTTTTATGGTCTGTATCTGAGTGGAAAATTCGGTAAATGTCATTTTATGGAAAGGGAATGATGAAATTGCAAACCATGCGTGCTGTCCGTTTGATTTAAATTCAATATTACCGTTGATTTCCCCAAAATTTTTCGTTCCCCCTCGTACTTCATGGATATTGATCTTTTCCATGCACACAAAAAAAATTACCGAGGTTGCTCAAATTGCTGCTCTGAACCTCTTTAAAATGAGCCAGATTATCCTGTCCACTCAATCTAGAAAGAACGTTATCGGCGAGGACATTTATGAAAGAATGTGAGCTCGTGGAAGATGTTAACGGTACTTGGAGAAAATATTCTTGCTTCATTTCGTCAGATTCAATTAATCCACGTCATTAAGTGTTTCGTAACCGCTGAGCGTTCGTCCACTGGCACAGATTTTTTTCCAGTTGGTGCTCTGTTATTAAATCAACGTGAATCGTTACCTGAAAACAGTCGAGAAAAGGTCTCCTTCTGTTATTCGCCGCTAATTAGATCCTTCACTTTATATTCGCAAACGCACTGGGATATTTACTGGACCCGTTTCCCATTGTAAAGTTTGGAGTAATTTCGTCCGGACAAAAATAGGACCCGCCGCGCTACAAAGCTATGTCCTTGATACATTCAAAACGGTAACGAGGCCAACTGTCTTTCATTACTTGTGTGTAAAGTGCAAAATGAAACTGGATCGTAAAATCAAAGATGATGAAATTCGGCTTCTAAACGTCTAGAATTTGTGGATTAAAAGTGCAATTTTCTGCCCTGCGCGCCGATTTGGAGAAGGGATTTGAAGTATAACTTTTTTTCAGAAAATAGATTCAGAAAACATGGTTACAAGTCTTAAAACAAAATTTTCAGTATAACTACCTTTTCTCAAGTCAAAAGTCCCGACATTAAGCTCATAGATTACTTGTTAAAACAATCTTGTGATAACAAATATTTTTAGGAATGTTAAATAGATTCTCCAGGTAAAAATTTCCTGAATGACGCAGGCGCAGACTGAAAATTTCAATCGCAAATGTGATTGATTGGCTCTTGTAGCATGGAATAGAAGTTGCAATCAATGTCAGACGTGCTTCCAAGTGGTTGTAGACATCAGCCTTCGAGAATGAAGATATTTTCAAATCATCCTCCCGAAATGGAGAGATTAGCGCAACTGATGGGATTTAATTTTTATTTCAGAAGATAACTCAATTTTGTAAACAATAAAAATCTGAGATGCCAGAAAAACAGGATCTAATTGCTAATTTGTAGGTCTGATTTTAAAAATTGTTTGGGTCATTATTTTGAAAATCTCATTATAAAAAAATTATGCATTATAAAAACTTTTTCTGGAGTCCCCGAAACTTTGTTTTAACGAAGTTTTACAGTATTGTACTAGTATTTATACATACGAATTTAAAAAACTCAAGTGTATTTTTTTTAGCTGGGAATTCAAATGTTGTACACGCATGTTTCTTTGGTGGAGGTGGGATTTCATCTGGCGTCTTTTGTTACACGAAGCTGTTTAAACTCATTCCGATTTTTATCTTGTTTTTTTTTCTTTCTTGGAATTGAACAGGCTCATCATCGGGTTGTGACGACGAGGGATTCCTGGACGAAAGCAATCCTCCGTCCGCCATGGCGTCCTCACCAGGCGCCTCTGAGATGAGCTGTCTGAGTGACGCCAGCGTCGTCTCGAGTGCACCCAACAGCTGTCGACAATCCCCGGAGACCACCACCAAAGACGACGTCGAGCCGTCGGACCTGATCGCGGCTCCGTTGCCACCAGGACCGCCGCCAAAGAAACCGCCTCGAACATTCGCACACGACGTTTACCTTCGCACCAAGGCCAAGCCCCGCGACGAAGACGAAAAGAATAATTACGCCGATCCAGGCAGCAAACACAGTAACAATAGTTTCCATGGCAGCACTAGCAATGTGAACGGAGTGCGCCGCCCGCGATGTCCGCCCCCGAGTCCGCCGCGTCGCCTGGAAACGTCGCGAGCAGAGGAGAGGACGAATCCGTATGTTGACTTTACGCCGGCGTCGAGGGCGGCGATTGTGGCGCCGGTGTCGACGACGTTGAAGCGGTGTCGCAGTGAAGAGCATGTCTATGCTGTGCCGTACGTGGAGGTTGGGGTGACGTTGCGGAGCAAGGTGTCGTCACCGGTGTATGCCGAGATCAGTGACGACCGTGACGCGGCACAACGGCAAATTTCAACCAGATCCGATGAACTTCACTATTCCGTGAGTAATAAATCATGATGGTCATTACTCTTTTTTCCCATTTTTTCGGGGGTTCTCCTGTTAATTTATACTCAGAGGAAAATATAAAATTTATTTTGAAACTAGAAATGTCGTAAAAATAAGCTAGGGTATGCCGTCAGTGCTCATGTTTTCGACTGCTTCCAAATTTCCATGGGGTCCACTATTCTATTGTACTGTACCTTACATTCGTACCTTCTATCTCCCGAAAAACACAATGGTTTGAACGCGAAATTGAGTTCCTTTTGAAGCGGACGAATTTTGGCGAAAATTTCAAATATTATGGCGTAAGAGTTGAAATCCTGAAGGATTCGAGACGAAGCATGAGTGTAAGCAACGAAATCTTCGGTCTCAGCAAAAATCGAATGACATGAGAATGTGTCTTTCAATCGCTGGTAAATTTCCTCAAAATCTTGAGGCTGATGAGAAAATCAACAGACCAGCCTCATCATTGATTGCGTCGTATATTCTATTAAATACGGTGGTTGGAGATTTTGACTTCTTAGTCAATTTTCGATCGAGTGGAGTCAGAATCGGATGAGAAGAAAATATTGATATTTTCATGGTGCAAATACTGCGCGTAAAAAAATAAAACTGAAACTTTGAATTCAATCTGCGCAGCGATTATACACTGAGACAACAATCTCATCTCAAGTTTTTCGTTTTTTTTTAAATACCAAATACTTTTTACTCGTGCTGTTCATTTCCAATTTTGGTAGCCTGTGTTCATGCCTTATTGCGCAAGTTTTCGATCAATTCAAGAGTTGCACGGGATTCTTACCCATAAAATGTTTTATGCAAATTGCTTAATTTCACGAAAGTAACAGCAATGAAATGTGGTAATTTCTGTCGTCTGTGTTTACACATGGTCAAGAATGCTTTGATGGTTGGATTCATCCAGTACTTATTTAGATTAAAAAAATTTAAAATAGCGGTAAGCGTCTTGATGCGCTGAACCAAGTTTTTTTTCATTCTCTTAAAAATATTTTTGTCTTCGGATTCCGTAAGTTTTCTTCTGTCTCGGGCGAAAAAAATCAGAATGAAAATTTTCGCATTATCGATGAAGGCTGTGGATAAGGTTTCGGTTTCATGAGGTCACCTTGCGAGGCACGCGGATCGAAGCACATTTTTTTTGACCTCAAACTAATGGCACTCTGGGTTCGTTATCGGGTTGTGGACTATAAAGTTTTTCATGGCAATTTATCCTAGTTATCCTATGACACAATGTTCTCTTGTCATTCTTCAAGTGTCAGCTTTACTGGCGAACCGTGGTTCGTTG